GAGTACAGCCCAATCTAGGGTTTCCTATATGTACTCAACTGCTTGCTAGTGCAATCCACCTCTTCTCTCATTCCTGTTGTTCATTTCACATGGTATAGAGCTAGACCGATCCTTCCTCGGGCCCACCACTTAAACTTAAACTTTTTTTTTTTTTTCACTGCCCTGCTGCCCGAAGCGCCTTTCGCGGCCCCTTCGCGGCCCCTTAACGGCCCCTTCGTGGCCCCTTAGCGACCCCATCGCGGCCCTTCGTGGCCCCTTCGCGACCCTGTCGCGGCCCTTTGTAGCCCCTTCGCGACCCTGTCGCGGCCCTTCGCGGCCCCGTCACGACCTAGCCCCGGCCCTGCTCCGTCGCCCTGTCGCGGCCCCCCGTCGCGGCCCTCAGTCGCGGCCCCCCGTCGCGGCCCCCCGTCGCGGCCCTACGTCGCGGCCCCCCGTCGCGGCCCCCGTCGCGGCTCCCCGTCGCGGCCCTACGTCGCGGCCCCCCGTCGCGGCCCCACGTCGCGGCCCCTGTCGCGGCCCCCCGTCGCGGCCCCCCGTCGCGGCCCCCCGTCGCGGCCCCCGTCGCGGCACCTGCCCCGTCGCCCACGTCGCGGCCCCCCGTCGCTGCCCCCCCCGTCGCGGCCCCCCGTCGCGGCCTCCCGTCGCGGCCCCCGTCGCGGCCCCTGCCCCGACCCTGCCCCGGCCCTACCCGGCCATGTCGCGGCGCACCCGGGGCCCGCGCCCCGCCCCCCCCCCCCGCCCCTCTTTTCCCGTCGCCCGTCGCGGCGCCCTGGGGGGCCGCGCGCGGCCCCCCTCAGGTCGCCTCGACAGGCGACGGGAGGGGCGATCTGGGGGGGGGGGGCGGGCGTCGCCCCTTCTGCCGCCTGTGTTGGCGCCCTGGGAGGCCGCGCGTCGCCCCCCCCCCCCCGTACCCTCCCTACCCGCCATCCCGCCCTGCCCTGTGTTAGGGTTTGGGGGTGGCGAGTAGGGATGGCGGGTGTGTGTTCACCCCTGCTCCTCCTCCTCTGTCTCCCACTGCTGCAGCTGCCGCTGAGGGGGGTGGGTGTGTGGGAGTCGACGGAATGGTACTAGGGGGTGGGGTGTGAGTGAACCTAGGGTGCAGCAGGGGGTGTATGAAATGGGGGTGGGATAGTTTGGGGAGGTTGAAGGGGGGTGGCCGCCGTGAAGCCCGCAGCTCCAGTCGCCCGTGAGACCGTTGCGCCAGTCGCCCGTGAGCCCGTTGCGCCAGTCGCCCGTGAGCCAGTTGCTCCAGTCGCCTGTGAGTCCGTTGCTCCTGCCGCTCAGAGTTAGCCGCGGAGCCAGTTACTCCAGTAGCCCGTGTGCCAGTTGCTCCAGTTGCCAGTGTGCCAGTTGCTCCAGTTGCCCGTGTGCCAGTTGCTCCAATTGCGCCGTGTGCCAGCAACTTCAGCTGCCGCCCTCTACCTCCTCTCCTCTCATAGTCCCTCCTCCTCCACACTTGCCCTCTGTGATAGCTTCTAGCTTTGCTTACTATTATTGTGAACTATTGCTTGCTTACTTGTGCTCAGAATGTGTGGTGACATTGTGATCCACCCTGAGCTTGTCTTTTGTTTTGCTTTGCTTCTTGTGCTGATTACACCCCACTTTGGCTATGGGGGTGTATCAGAATGTTATATTTGTCTAGCCTGCAGTGGGGTACTCAATAGTGAGTACAGCCCAATCTAGGGTTTCCTATATGTACTCAACTGCTTGCTAGTGCAATCCACCTCTTCTCTCATTCCTGTTGTTCATTTCACAGCGACAAGCGGCAGCACTTAGCAGATCTGGAAGCAGTCTTCAAAATTTTAGATGAGAACCGGCTCCTGACAAAGGGCTCCAAGTGGGAGTTCACAGCAGTTCGCATCAACAAATGGGATCTATTACGTAAAAGTCGGCACCGACCGCATCTGGGTGCCAGGGTAAACTCTGCTAAGGGAGCTACTGCTACAGGAGGCATACGACAGCGTTACCTTGGGCCATTTCGGGGTAGAAAAAACACGACAGCAACTGCAGCGGAATTACTATTGGCCCGAGATGTTGACCGACATACAGCGACACGTGGCGTCGTGTCCCATCTGCCAACTCATGAAATCATCACGGAAGTGGCCGGAAGGGCAGTTGCAGCCGATACCACCCCCAGAGCGTGCTTGGCAGCAGGTGACAAGTGGGAACGATGCGATCCTGGTCGTCGTCGATCGGTTGACGAAAATGGTGCATTTCGTAGCATGCAGGAAATCCATCTCAGCCGAAGAAACAGCTCGCCTTTTTATCGCTACTGTCGTTCAATTACACGGGATACCAGCAGCAATCATTAGCGACATGGATACGAAATTCACTAGCAACTTCTGGCGGAACTTGTGGCAGCAGTTCGGCACACGACTACAGTTTAGTTCCTCGTACCATCCCGAAACAGACGGACAGACAGAATGGACAAACCAGACCATGGAATAGCTCATCCGAGCCACGTGGGAACAGCAACTGCCACTCATCGAGTTCGCGTACAACAACTCGCCATCCGCCATGACCCAACAGTCACACTTTTACCTGAACTACGGACAAGACCCCAGAGTACCCATGACCCCGAATCCAGACAACCCCCTACCACGTGCGCAGCAGTTCGCCGGATCTTACAAGCAACACGGACCCGGACAGCAGACGCAATAAAAGAATCAAACGTAATCGCAAAACGCAACGCCGATCGCCACCGCCGCCCCGTCACCTACTAGCCCGACGACTTAGTTTTACTAGACACTCAAAACCTACGCCTGCCCATCACCCCAAGACTCCGCCCTCGGTATTGCGGGCCATTTCGCATAAGCCACATGATCACACCCGTTACCGCCCACCTCCTCCTCCACGCTGACTGGTACGTCAGCCCGTCATTCCATGTCAGCCTCCTACGCCCTTACGTACCATCCACAAGCCAACTAACCCGACACCGACCAGCCAGCATGACACGACCACCCACTGAGCCAGTTATTACACCCAAGAAGATTCTGAGTCATCGCGTTCGTGACCCACGTGGAGCACGCAGGATCGAGTTCCTCATTCGATGGAAAGACCGCACCCCAACTGAGGACAATTGGGTTCCCCTGGACAAGATCGAAAACCACCCCGTCCTTACCGACTACCTGAGCAACCACAATTTTCGAGATGTACACGCACTCTCGTAAGGAGGGCCTCATTGGGGAGGGGGTAGTGTAAGGTAATTTCCATTTCCTTACGCCGCATCCCTGCTTAGCGCGTACATCACTGTAGCACTACAGTAAGCATCGTTACCACTCGCAACCCTCGCTTCGACAATCCTCCCGCCATCTTCGTACGTCGCACCCCGACCCCACGGCTTGGCGGGTAACCCGCGATCCGGGCCTCCGCCTCGACATTCCCCAACCACAGTCCCAACCTCAGTTCCAGGCCCGTTGCGCGTCACCCACAGTTCATTACCATTACCACGGTGGCCTTCGCTATTTAGTTCTCGCTCAATCCTTCGCTCATTGTACTGTTTGCTTCGATAGTGCAATTCTCGCTCGCTCGCTCATTGCACTCGTAACAGTGATACTTGTGCACAGAGATAATAATGCGTACACGGCTTTTTCTTACGGTCCACCATACGCATCTTCTATATATACATTTAAAGTGTGAAGGTACACTTTTCAAAATCTAGTGCACTCCCGATTGCTGTAAGGAAAATTCCTTTTCCTTACTTCGCGTCCCCGCTCAGCGCGTACACCACTGTAGCACCACAGTCAGCACCGTTACCACTCGCAACCCTCGCATCGACAATCCTCCCGCCACCTTCGCCCGTCGCACCCCGACCTCACGGTTCGGCGGGTAACCCGCGCTCCGGGCCTCCGCTTCGACATTTCCCCAACCTCAGTTCCAGGCCCGTCGCGCGTCAACCACAGTTCATTAGGACGCGGCACCTGTTTTCATTTTGCCAGGATCGATCGTGGGAGGGGATCGATGTGCCGCTTGTACAGTGTATTGGCGACATCGCCAATGCCTGGTATCCGTACTTCGCTAAACGTCGAGAATGTACAGTAAACGGGTACCCAGATTCGTGGCACCTGCAGCTCGCACGATCGATGTGCCGTGGTGCATGCGTTAGGGTTGGCGGGAGCATATCGTGCCATAGGTGACAGCCTCGATCGATCGGCGTCGCCCACGGTCGCAGGCCAAAAAATTTTGAGTCGCTCCGAATGGAATTGCTGGACGACCATCCACGTTCTGCCCTGATTGGCTGCGCGTTTAAGTGGAATGGCAGCTCCAACCTGCCCGAGCCTGCAATTTCGATCCTGGCACCTATAGCTCGATGTGTCTACCCCACTGCAAAATTGTAGTGTGGGCACATCGGTGTGCCGATCGATATGCCAGGATCGATGTGAGGCCATGATCCTTGTAAAATGAAAACAGGTGCCGCGTCCTTACCGTTACCACTGTAGTTTTGCTATATATCCTTCGCTCATGCCTTCGCTCATTGGACTCTTGCTTCGATAGTGCAATTCTCGTTCGATCACTCAATTGCACTCGTAACAATTGCACTGATCCATGCTCCCATTCAGATGTCCCAGATCAGGCTCAACGCGTGATTCATACGCTTTCACAATGACCAAGTTCTCATCTCTTACCAGTAGTCGTGCGTAACATCACGTTGATTCCTAGTCATTCCTAGATGCTGATTCTCTTTCGTAATTAATTTCAACAAGGTCGAAAACTAATTATCTGTCGAGGAGCTTTCGATGTCCCTATGTCGTCGGTCCCTGCGGAAACACTTCCCTTAGATACCGTCGGTATGTCTGGTTTAACCGGCGACGGTTAACATGGAAGTAGGTCATAGTAATGAGTCAGCTACCGATGGCCACGAACTTGTCTCGCAGCCGACGCTTTCTCTTATTTCGGAAAGAGCTCAGCAATGTCTGGTTATCGATCACCCGCCAGCATCTCGTTCGTCAAAACCATGGAGTCAAACGAAGACTGTAGACGCGGAAGTTGCCTGCGCGAGAATGTGCTTGAACACAGGGGGGGAACCGGACAGGGGGGTGGTAGCGGACACACCAGAATGGACGACTAGGTTAGATCAGGCACGATCTGGTCCGCTCGATCTCCGCGGACCAGCGAGGCGGATCGCAGGCCTGCCGCGCCTGGGCCTCTGGTGCGGTTGCTGGAACGAGCAGGGGGGAGCGAGCGGGAGCGGGAGATGGCGGAGGAGAGAAAGGAGGCGGAGAAGGAGAGGTTGCGCGAGTGGGAGAAGAAGAGGAAGAGGGAGGAGGAGAAGAAGGGTGTCTGGGGTAGCGATTTCGGCAGGTGCGTGGCTTGATTGTGCGCAGCGCACAGTGAAGTGCGATGTTTGTTGATATCGAAATTGGTTTCCGGTAGCTGGAACGTGTGCGTAGTTTTGCTGTTGCGCTTGATTGTTGATCTCCTCTGGCCTGAAGGCGGTGTTTCTTGCTCTGCTGCCCTGCAGTCTCACTCCTGAGCTCTCTGTGCGTGCGTGTGCACCAGGTACATGCACGAGAAGAATCGCAAGCTTCGCCTGCAGTTCGAGGGGGAGGCAGCTGCCGGCCTGCTCTGGTAAATGACCAAGCAATGCCTGGATTCACACCGTTTTTATATGGCTCATGTGTTATTCTGCACATGGGAGTGGGTTTTTCAACATTAAAATAATGAATTAATTTCAACAATATGTACAATATGTTCGCTGAAGAAGCCTTGTTGAGTCGCCATTCTCATTCAGCTTGGCGTCTAGCTTCCTTAACATGGCTCTCGTTTAAGTTCCTCATATGTGTCTGTGCACCGTGCATGGTGACTGACTGGCAGGCAACCCCAGCTGCCATCCCACGTGCCAGTCTCGTCCCAGCAGCTTGCCTCTCTGCACAGCTTTGCTGCTCCCAAGCAGGCTGCACCTGGTGCAGGCTGGACTCCTCATGAACCTTTGCCTGGCAGCATGAAGGCACATGACCAAGTGCCTGCCATTGCTGCTGGTGCTTATGGTGCTGGTGGTGCTGGTGCTAGAGGAAACGGAGAGGAGGGTGATTCGGGTGGTTGGCATGTGCCATGTGATCCCAGAGGTCCGGGCGAGGGTTGGGTCGGTGCACGTGGGGAAGGGGAGGATGCGGCGAGCAAGGCAGTTGTGGTAGCTGGAGATGCACGGCATGTGGAGTCATGGCAGCGCGGAGTGAGTGGTGGCGGCGCGGGGTATGACAAGAATGAGGGAGCGAGGGCTGGTGAAGCAGCGTTGCAAGGAGTGCAGCGCGGTGCATCGAGTGGCAGTGCGTCTCGCCTGTTTGAAGGCGTGGTCATTTGGGTGAATGGATACACGCAGCCCACACACCAGGTCTGTGTGACATGTGTGCGTACCTGTCCCACTGTGAATGCCTGCCTTCTTTCCTATCCTCGCTGTGCTGTGCTCTATGGTGTGGGTCATGTTCTGTGCCGTGCCGTGCTCTCTGGTGTTCTGCTTTCTCTTGCCAGCCCGAGTGAGTGCATTTGAGACCTCTGTTCATGATTCCCTTGGCGGTTCTTTCTCTCTTTCTCACTCTCTTTCCACCGTGCCTGTCTGTCTGTCTGTCTGTCTGTATCCCACCAGGAGCTACGGCAGCTGATGCTGGTGCATGGAGGCGTGTTTGAGAACTACTTCCACCCCTCGCGCGTCACGCACATCATCTGCGCCAACCTCCCAGACACCAAGCTCGTGCAGTTCCGCAAGTACGCATCTTACCTTCCATTTCCCCTCTTCTCCCATCCCATGTGCTCTCCTCTCCTTTCCCCCCTCAACATCCTCCTTGGTAATTTGAGCTGTGTGTGTGAGAGGGGCGCTAGGAGAAGTGTGTGTGAGCTGGGCCTGATGCCCAAACCGTGGCCACATTCACATTCACACCCCGTCTTTGTTTGTTGTCTTTCTCCATGTGTATCCGTGCGTGTGGTGATACTGCACGGCACCAGATCGCGCACCCTGCCTCCCATTGTTCACCCCAACTGGGTTGTTGCCTGCATCCATGCCAACAGGCTGCTTCCCTGTAAGCCGCGCCAACACACATACCCCTGTGCTATGCTGCCTCTAGTCTGTCTGCGTTTTCGTTCGCTATGATGCTCTTTTGGAAGTTTCTTTGGGCCAATTTCTTCCACGTCAAGTTTTCCCCCTCTGCTTTACATTTCCAATACAGCAACCCAGCAGTGTTCTCCTTTGCTTTTCCCTTTCTCATCCGTTATCTATTCTCCACCCCGCTCCCAACCTTCGCCCCCGTTTTCTCAGTGGATGCATTCTTCCTGCGCCGCCTGGCCTTGGACCATCCCGATCAGAAGACCCTCCCCTCCACCTTCTTCCGTGCTGAACCCGCGCCGCAACTCCCTTCCTCGCACTCTCCTGCTCGCGTTGCTGCCGTTCCTGCGAACCCGGCTTCTCCTTTTGCACCTCTTGCCATTGCCGCTGCGCCTGCTGGCTCTGCTGCCAACGCAACTGCAGCCGCCGGTTCTATCGGCACAGCTCTTGCTCCCTGCACCCCCTGCCTGATCCAGGGGCTAGACTTGCATGCAGCAGACACAGAAGCAGAAGCAGAAGCAGCAGCAGAAGCAGCAGCAGAAGCAGCAGCAGCCGCGCGTATCAGAACACAGGGTACTGTGATTGATCAAGGGGATGCTTGCGACGCACGTATAGGTGGGGGAAGAAAGAAGCAAGACGGATGGGCAGAGGCGGAGGTTGCAGACAGGAAGGCAGAGGCAGAGGGTACCCGAAGGGAGGTGTGGGATGAGAAGGCAGTTGCAGGATGGGGTGAATGGGTGGGTGGGTGCGTGGCTGCTGATGTTGTAACCAATGTTGAGGCGCCTCAAAGATCGTTTCGTTGTAATGTTGAGAAGGCAGGTATGGGTGATGTGTGTGGGGTGGAGGGGAAGGTGGAGATGGGAGCATGGGGCGGCTTCTGTGGGGATTCTGCTGGTAAGAAGGACGGCACGGACAGTATTGGGGGGGGAAGGGAGGTGGATGGGAAGGGAGGGGAGGTAGGGGAGGGCGGTGAGGGAGGGGAGGGAGAGCTTGAAAGGGGAGGAAGTGGTAAGGATGTGTGGTCTGAGTTCCCTGAGGAGATGGCAGCCCGCGTCCGTGGACAGGGTCACGAGCGTTACTTCCTGCTGGTGGTTGACGACTACTCGCGTTACACCACCGTCTTCCCCTTGCGCAGCAAGGGTGAGGTCACTGGGGTGTTGATCGACTGGATCCGCGCTGCTCGTCTCCAGCTCAGAGAGAGTTTCGGCTCTGACTTTCCTGTTCTGCGTCTGCACTCCGACAGAGGCGGAGAGTTCTCCTCTGACCTTCTGCGCACCTTCTGTCGTGCACAAGGCATCCGCCAGACGTTCACGCTTCCGGCCTCTCCACAGCAAAATGGGATTGTTGAGTGCCGCATTGGCATGGTCATGGACGTCGCTCGTACGTCCATGATCCATGCGGCTGCCCCCCATTTTCTGTGGCCGTTCGCGGTTCAGTACGCGGCGCATCAGATCAACCTTCAGCCCCGGGTCTCCATGCCGGAGACCTCCCCTGCTCTGCGGTGGACGGGGAAGGTTGGCGATGCGTCTGCGTTCCGTGTTTGGGGATCCCGGGCGTTTGTCCGCGACTTGTCTGCGGACAAGCTGTCCCCCCGTGCTGTTCCCTGCGTCTTCCTTGGCTTCCCCCCTGACGCGCCTGGTTGGCAGTTTTACCACCCCACCTCGCGCCGTGTTCTGTCCTCTCAGGACGTCACGTTTGACGAGTCGGTTCCCTACTACCGTCTCTTCCCCTACCGCACTGCGTCCCTCCCCCCGCCGCCGCTCTTCCTCGCGCCAGGTCCCCCCCCGGTAGACCCCCTCCCCCCTCAGGGTCCTGCCCCCTCAGGTGTGTCCCAGGTAGACGCAGTCGAGCCTGTCGAGGTAGCTGTTGACTCTGGTGCTGCTGGGGGTGCGGGGCCTGGGGGTGCTGAGCCTGGGGGTGCTGACTCTGGGGGCGCTGAGACTGGGGGTGCTGAGCCTGGGGTTGCTGAGCCTGGGGGTGCTGAGCCTGGGGGTGTGGAGCCTGGGGGTGCTGAGCCTGCTCGTGTGGCGTCTGGAGAGACTGGGCCTGGAGGTCCTTCGGGTGCTTCGTCCCGGCGAGAGTTAATCTCTCCACAGGAGCTGCGCGAGTGGTTTGCTCGGCGTTGGAGCCGTACTGCTGGAGCTGGAGGTGCTGCTGGTGCTGGAGGTTCTACTTCTGCTGAGGGTGCTGGTGCCACGGGTCCCAGAGGTGCTCGTACTGGAGGTACTGGAGCTGCTGGGCCTGCGGGTACTCCTTCTGCTGGAGCTGGAGCTGCTGGGGGTGTTGGCGCTGGAGGTGCTGCTGGTGCTGGTGCTTCTGAGGGTGCTGGTGTTGGTGCTGCTGGAGTTGGTGCTGCTGGCGCGGCTGGAGCTGGGGGTGCTACTGGAGCTGGAGCTGCTGGCGCTGCTGGAGCTGGGGGTGCTACTGGAGCTGGTGCTGCCGTTCGTGGTGCTGGCGCTGTTCCTGCTGGTTCTGGGGGTGCAGCACGGCCGTGGCCGTACTTCGTTCCGCTCCTTGAGCAGGTTCTTGGTCTTCCGCCCTGTACTAGTCCTGCTCCTCTCTTAGAGTGTCCGCCGCCTGTCCAGTCTGAGTCACAGTTACAGCCAGCCTCCCCACTGCCTGCTCCTTCTCCCTACACTGGTCCTACTGGAGGTCTTGCTGAGCGTCGTGAGCCTGCGTCTCGTCCTGCGTCGCCTGTCCGTGCTGCTCGCACTAGTGGTCGTGGTTCGCGTCCGCGTCCTCCCCCTGTCCCCGGCACGCACCGGATGTCTCTGCGTCCTTCCACTGCTCCGCTGCGTGCCCCTTTGCCTTCTCCTCCTGAGTCCTCTCTTCCTGCTCTTGCTGACCCAGAGTCGGACTCCCTTCGTGCTGCCAGTCCTACTGTCACGCGTCTCCTTGCTACTGTCGTCACTGACCCTTCCTTCGAGTCCACTGCTGCGTCTGCCTTAGTTGCTGAGCTTGTCGACTTTGCTGCTCGCTGTCGTCTAGACTACGCTGCTAGTCTTGTCGCTGAGTCTGAGTCTGTCTGTCCTCCGTCCGTCGGGGGTGAGTGTGCCCTTGGCACGGACGTCCTTGAGGACAGGCAGGAGGAGTTCCAGTGCTTTGCTGCTGCTTCACCTCATCTCGTGTCCATGCTGCTGGCCCCTGAGGGAGACCCGGATGCACCAGACATCCCGACTCCGCGCTCTTACGCGGAGGCGATAGAGGGTCCCTACTCCTCTCAGTGGCAGGCAGCCATGGACGTAGAGATGGCTTCCTGGAAGTCCACAGGCACATACGTCGACGAGGTTCCCCCACCTGGGGCGAACATCGTCAGTGGCATGTGGATTTTCAGGGTGAAGCGGCCGCCGGGTTCTCCGCCTGTCTTCAAGGCGCGTTACGTGGCTCTGTCAGAACATTATAGCTTATGCTGTTGTGTAGGCTATAGTGGGGTATCCCATAGGGGGTACAACCAATTAGGGTTTCATATTTGTTTTCACTTCATTTCATAGTTCATCCATTCTTGTTCAAATCTTCTCATGGTATCGAGCAGGTTCCCCCTTGGGAACTGTGCTTAGGGCCCACCACATCGTTTTTTTTTCCTGCCCGAAGCGCGCTCAGCCTGAGTCGCGCTCCGGGCCCTCACTTCGTCGAGCCGCCCTAGCGGCCCTGCACTGCGGCCCCGCCACCCGTCTCCGCGGCCCCGCCGCCCGTTTTCGCGGCCCCGCCGCCTCTCTCCTAGCGGCCCCGCCGCCCTACCTAGCGGCCCCGCCGCCCTACCTCGCGGCCTCGCCGCCCCATTGCGCGGCCCCGCCGCCCTACCTAGCGGCCCCGCCGCCCCATCGCGGCCCCGCCGCACCATCGCGCAGCCCCGCCGCCCTATCTAGCGGCCCCGCCGCCCTACCTAGCGGCCCCGCCGCCCCATCGCGCGGCCCCGCCGCCCCATCGCGCGGCCCCGCCGCCCCATCGCGCGGCCCCGCCGCCCTTCCTCGCGGCCCCGCCGCCCCATCGCGCGGCCCCGCCGCCCTACCTAGCGGCCCCGCCGCCCTTCCTCGCGGCCCCGCCACCTTACCTGCGGCCCCGCCACCTTACCTGCGGCCCCGCCCTTACCTGCGGCCCCGCCGCCCTCTGCTGCGGCCCCGCCACCTTACCTGCGGCCCCGCCACCTTACCTGCGGCCCCGCCACCTTACCTGCGGCCCCGCCGCCCTCTGCTGCGGCCCCGCCACCCTATCTGCGGCCCCGCCACCCTACCTGCGGCCACGCCGCCCTTACCAGCGGCCCCGCCGCCCTTACCTGCGGCCCCGTGCCCTGCAGCAGCACAGCCGAGCCGCCCAGCAGCCGAGCCGCCGAGCCGCCCAGCAGCCGAGCCGCCCAGCAGCCGAGCCGCCGAGCCGCCCAGCAGCCGAGCTGCCCAGCAGCCGAGCCGCCCAGCAGCCGAGCCGCCCAGCGGCCGCGCCGCCCAGCAGCGGAGCCGCCGAGCCGCCGGGCCGCCCAGCAGCTGAGCCGCCAAGCCGCCGCACCGCCCTCCTTCAGGGCCGCCCGACCTGCCCAGTCTGGTGAGCACAGCGCCTTTTCACTGCACTGTCCTCACCCCACTGTTTGCGCTGCTAGTCGTCTAGGGTCATGGCTACCCCTAGTGTTCTTGCCTTTGACGCTGAGGGTAGGGCCATTGACTTTGAGGTCTGGGTAGATGACCTGCAGCTGTTCTTACAGTGCGATAGGGCAGACGGCCTCTCTCTCTTTGACCTCACCTCTGGCACCTCCACTGCCCCTGCTGCTGATGCTGACGCCACTGTTCGCTCCCAGTGGGCCACGCGCGACGCTGCTGCACGTCTTGCTGTGCGTCGCCACCTCCCTACCTCCGAGCGTGCGCACTTTAGTCAGTACAAGAGTGCTCAAACCTTGTACGACGCTGTAGTTGCGCGCTACTCCTCCCCTGCCACTGCTGCACTGAGCCGTCTCATGCTACCGTACCTCTTTCCTGATCTTACTGCCTTTCCCACAGTCACTGACCTCATTACGCACCTCCGCACTAGTGACACTCGCTACCGAGCTGCACTCCCTCCTGACTTCTGCGCCAGGAACCCCCCCCCCATGTACATCACTCTTTACTACATAGTCACTCGCCTTCCTGACTCCCTTCGCGTAGTCAGGGACCACTTTCTCTCTGTCTGTCCCACCACTCTCACTGTTGACCTCCTCGAGAAGTCCCTCCTAGCGGCCGAGAAGAGCATAGTCGCTGTAGGGGCCTCTCGTGGTGACCCGCGCACCCCCATCTTTGAGGGGTGTTCCCCCTCCCCCCTTCTGCCCTCTGTTGCCTCTGCTGCTGCGGCCGACCTCCTTGTTCTTGAGTCGGTCGGTGCGGCGTCTGCCCCTAGCGGGAGACGCCGCTCTGGCAAGGGCAAGGGGGGCAAGGGCGCTGGAGGAGCGAGCGGGGGCGGTGGAGGTGGAGGTGGCGGCAGTTGGGGGAGTGGGGGTGGCGGTGGGAGTGGAGGTGGGGGTGGAGGGGTCGGTGGCGGCAGTGGAGGTGGAGGTGGCGGCGGCGGTGGCGGTGGGAGCGGAGGTGGCGGAGGTGGCGGAGGTGGAGGCGGCGGCGGAGGCGGAGGCGGCGGCAGTAGCGGAGGCGGCGGAGGCGTCGGAGGCGGCGGGGGTGGCGGTGGTGCTGGTCGCGGGTCTTCGCAGAGGAGTGGCTCCGGTGGTGGCTCGCGCCAGCAGCAGCAGCGTGGTCGTGACACCCTGTCCCCTCAGCAGCTTCGTGAGTGGTACACTGCGCGTCAGCGGGGTGGGGGTTTTGGTCCGTGCTCCTACGTTTTGCGCACTGGCGA